ATGAGATGGCAATCAAGTACGAATCTCCCACCCTCACCCCCTGCTAACCGCCCCCCCGCCCCCGCACACACACACATTAGTTTTATCTTGAAAAAGCTGTATTTGATAATAAAAGTTGTGCTTTAAAACACAGCTCCACCGAACTGGAAACAACTTAGACTAAACTACATGGTTTTAAAAAGGAATGTTTACTAGGTTGCAAAGTTTAGGTACCAAGTTGCACTGTATGTTTAATTAGTGCCGTTTGTATGCTTTAATAAAGAATTCTTAAAACAAACTATCATAAGCCAGGGCAAAGCAAAATAAATTAAAAATAAAATATATGAGTGAGCTTTCGATTGAAGGTGCATTGATTGTGTGATAGTAATATCTAACATTCTGTAGTATTTCTTAGAGACACATCTTAGTTTATGTTAAGAAACATCAATGATATATAAATATTGAACTATCTCAACAGCTGTGTTCACTATTTTTAAACTATAACAGAAATCTTGTAGGTGGTACTTGCAAGGTAATGATGCTAGATGTGTTTGTTTACAATGTACCAAGTTCTAGAAGAGCGATTTCTCTAAAATTCTTAATTGTATTCATGATTCATGAAATTATGGCTATTATAATGATTTCTACAACTAAATACATCAATTATCAAAGGCAAAGCAACAGTATAAATTTTTTTTAAAAGAGTCAAATAAAATGAATAGAATAGGCTTTAATAGAAGTTCATCTTTCCAAAGTCTAAGGCCACAGAACATCTGTATGCCTGATGTATAAAAATTACATAACTTCTGGAAAATACAATGGTAACATAGATTTTGTTGACAGCAATGTTTTCTTAAGATGTTAAATTTACCATTATTTAAAATAAAAAGAGCACATTTCTATAGCGCTACTAACATCTAAATAAAAGATTATTTGAATCCTTAAGCTAAGGATAAAATACTAGGTAACATATTTCATTAGGTTGCATGTCAAATATAAACATTATTAACTTTAAGATTCAAAGGAATAGCATGTTGTAATGGTAACTGTCCTGTTAAACTCACCAAATATTGTTGAAAATTCTACTATTATATTTTCTCTATGAATGACAACTCTTAATTTTGCTTTAAAAGCATATACCTGTGAGTTTGTAAGATCGTTTACATCTAATACCAAAGAAAAAAGTATAGACAGCAACTTTCAGAAACTAAAAGCATATTATTCACATTGCATTATCAATATGGTAATACTTGTGCCTATATAGCATAAACATAAGTATCGCATTTCAAACTTCATTATCACCCACAATTAATTTGTACACAATTCCAGTTTAAAGGATAAATCTGCCACTGAATTATTCCCAGTAAAACTAGTGTATAGCATTTTCTTCAGTAAAATAATTTTCATTTATATTCTAGCTTTTCCTGATTTTAAAAAAAATCAGGATTTTTTAAAAATCACAGTTTGCGATTTCAAGAAAAAGCAACATCCAAGTTGAACAGCAATAAAATCAAATATGTAATATATCTGAGAATGATGAATTTAAACTTTAACTCAAAGATCATAAAATGAAGTAATATATATTAAGCTCAATCCAATTTTGAAACCCACAAATACGAAAACAGTATGAACCACACACAGAAGCAGTTCAATATTTTAGGGAAGGAATCCTATTTGACTGATACAATGAATATCTCCAATGTCACATACCAGAATAAAAATAGGTATACTACAAAGCGCGGTAAAATAGAAAGCACAAAACATACTGATTCTACATGTCCCTTCCCACTCCCAACCAGCGAGCTACTCAGTATGTTTTTCTGATTTCCTAGTCAAAACCATCTATTAAAGATATTTATTAGGTAAAATCACTTACTTACCAATGAAAACTAAAAGCATCTTCAGATACCAAATACCAAACACAAGAATTTTAAAAAAGAAACTAACACCTTCCAGAAAATGAGTATATTCCCCTAAAATCAAAAAACTCCTTTTTAATGCAAGGGAACTTCTTGTAATCTAATCATAAAAGGGCATACAAATAGATCAAATTAAGCAATCTAATCAAGTAAGGAAAAAAAGATATTCCTAAACTACCAGCAAAGTCAGTATTCTGTGAGATTAGATTTTAAAAACTAGATAAATTAATTATACAACATAACTAAAAATAAATCTAATAATAGAGCCTATTCTTTTGATTAACATAATAGAAAAATATATTTTATAATTCCTTCTCACATGATTGTAATGTTATTTTGATTAATATTGCACATGCTGAAAAACATAACATAGCTGCAAAAATTCAATATTCCTACCAAAAAATGTAAAAATTTTTTTCATTTCATTTGAAATTTTTTAAATCACTCAGAAAGACAGGGTTGTTTAAATTAGTTTATAGATACAACCTGAGCAAAAAAAAAAAAAAAATGGAGGGGAGGGAGAACCATTAAGAAGAGATCACATTGACTGTAATTATTTTTTTAAAGATCTTTCATTAGAGGTGATATTTATTAAAATGTCCTCCAAATGTAACTGTATTCATTCAATAGTATTTCAACTAAATCCTATGAACACAATGACATTCTTTTTTCAAAACTTAGGTGATTGAGTAAATCCATCATACAACTAAAGTACTCTTTTCCCCAAATACACTCCTCATATGACAGAGAAATGCTTCATCGAACAGACACCAGACATATTTGTTCTAACAATACAGTCATATACATGTATACATACAGCACTTGTGAATTACTGCAGAACCCTAAAGGAAATTCTTTACAACTCGACAACATGAAGCACAGCTGTATGATTTCACTTATCTGGGATGTGCAAGGTAAGAATCCCTTCTCTGCATCTGAGTAAGACAAGTTGAAGGCAACTGACAGGCTGTCGTCAAGGAATACCAGGACCTCAGACAATTCCACAGGCTCGTGCTCAAATGTGTAAACACTATTACAACTAAAAACTATGTGAGGAAGAGAGGTGGTTCTTTCCAAACAGGTAATAACCTAGTTAAAATCATAATTTAGTGATCATTGTTTAGAATTCTTAAGGCTTCTCAAAAACAGCAATGTTTCATTTTATCCTTAAAATTGATTCCATAAGGTGGGATTGGTTTCCACCTGTTACAGGCAAGGAATCAGCCTTCTTTTATCTGACATTTCCACTCACATTTGCTCAGGTTATGTCACTATCCACACAAAATTTTTATTCAACACGTTCCGGTTTCCCATTTTCCCCCTCAATGGATATCCTTGCTCTATACAAACAGCATACCTCAGAACTACAAATGAAATAAGCAATCTTGATGTGTGATAAGAAAAAAAAAACACACAATTCAGTGGACTGAAAACAAAAGAGCTAATCCTCAGTGTACCCTTTCCATCCGACTGAAAATAAACTACATTCAAATGAAAGGCATTTAATTTACTATTTGGAATATCCTTGATAAACACCAATTTTCTGTAACATCCTCACACATCTGATACCACCTCATGTATAATGCAAAAAAGCCATTTCATTTTCATCTATTGACAGTGAATTTAATTTACCATTGCAACTCTCTTCCTAGAACTATCATGTTATTAATTCTGCAATCAAGCTCTTTTGAGTGCTTTTATTTGTACTAGAGGTTTTCGTAATTCCAGATTGAATTTTTTCATCACAGTATACCTTTTAAATGTATGAATATGAATATGTTAGCAAACTTTCCTAATGCAGAAGAAAAGTTTCTGAGACAAGGAAAGCCATCTGTGAAACTACAGTCGCAGGAGCAAACTTTGCAGGGAAACCCATATCCAAAAGACTACATGTGTTTTAACTTAATAAAAGCATGTTAAATCAGAATACTAGTTTCAGTTGACATAACTAAATGTTAGCTTCAACCGTGGCAAAACCTTCCCATCCAGTCAAACAGTCCATTTCTACCACCGAGTGATTGGCCAAGAAAAAGTCCTCCAAATGTGGTGCTTATGCTCACGCCAAATGTCTTTTCTGTATTAAAGAACACTTGGTGCATTAGATCACTGAAACCAAGTCAGCTTTCTTTTCCACCAGGAAAAAGAAAAATGAGCAGTTATCAGTCCCTCAGCATTGAATTAATATATTGACAGCCATAACGATAAAATACCTCCAAAAATGGCGGCAAGGTAGATCTATTTAAAAGCAAAACAGCTAATAATATTTTAACTAGGAGATACACCATTATGGACATTTCTCCATTAAACTTAAGATACAGGAATTAAGTACCAAAATGACTGAAAATGAAACAAAAGATGAACATGCAAAACTGTAGAACACCTGAAATGATAAAGCACACTGAAAAGTGAAAAAAAAAAAAAGATACCACCTAGGCTTGTCATATTCCAATAGTGTGTACCAATTTTAAACATGTTTTCATCAAAAGTAGCTCTTCCGTAACGCAAATTTTGAAGCATTCTTTCACTTCTTACACAATATAGATTTTCTTACTCCAATTACGCTAAAATCACAAAACCTTAAAAATCAGAAGGGGCAGCACTTGCCCTCTTTCCTCTACTCCAAGGCCAACAAACAAAGCTGTGAAGCAGGAAGAGGGACATAATGGATTCCAGAGTAAATGGCCCGTTCTTGAAGAAGCCTCCCACCCCCTTCCTCTTAATTCACTCTAACTGTCATTACAATGATGTCCGAAAACTTCCCAGGAACCCTGTTCCCTGATACCAGCTGTCCAGGTTTCCATCTTCAAATCACTGAGCATTTTTCCTCAGAAAAAGTATTCAGAAATACACAAAAGGATCATCTTGCGTTCAAATACAATCACATGCACAGTACCTTATCAATTATAGGGAGAAGATAGAACCAGCAATGGAAATATGATAAAACGTGGTCTACAGAATACTGTACTACAGCAATGTACAAAGTCTCTCGCTATTGTTTCATGATTTCTTTCAAGACAACATACAACACATGTGTAGTGCTCTCTCTCTTTTTCTGTTTCCCCCTGGGGATTCATCAAACAATCTCTTTACCACAGCACCTACCTGGATAAAAATCTTTGGACTTAGACAGCTTGATGGTGGCTCCAGTTTCTTTTTGCAACTGAACAATTGTCTGTCCTCCCTTTCCGATTATAGATCCAGCAGCATAACTAGGTATCAGAACCTTTAGAAAATACTGGCCGTCTTCTGAAAAATGCAAAGAAACATAATTGGTTAACATGATTATTCTTAAACTTTCTGTCCCTACCACGCCACCCTCTAGACAGAAAAACAGCAGCTAAAAGCACTGGATGTATTCTTGCAGGAATAAGGCTTTATTTATTTATTTTGTAAGAATGAAAAGAAGCCCATTACACTGAAAAAATAAGGATGCATAACATGTTCCCCATTTTTAGGGACCATACTTTCAAACTTGGAATTTAAAAAAACCTAAACATGTTCTATTAGTTTGCATCACTGTAGGAACTTATGACTAAATTCCAGTTGTTATTCCAAACATGGAAGTCTTCCAATTCTATCTGCGGTTACTATGGCAAAGAAATGAACTGACTCTTTAACAAAAGTTCAGATTCTTAAGACAAACCTGCACTCAACAAAGTGTATAAGGGAGGGGAAAAAAAGGATGGTATACAGCCACGAGCCAAATTTATTTAGCATTAGCAAAACAGAAGAAATACAATTAGCAACAGCCTAGATCTCAGTTAAAGTATGCAAAGCGACCATTCCCCTACAAAACAAACCAACCAAACTGTAGGACACATCCCAAGCCTCAAACACAACCAGGAAACAACTCAATGTGGTGGACTGACAGATCTAACTAATCCTGGCGTCTTTCTTTAGCACTTCTTAGTCTACCAGGATCTCATTTAAGCTGCTTAATTAAAGGACCTTAAGAATCCTGCCCATACTAAAAAGCTTAGGAGTCATTTATATGGCAATACGCTTAAAAGTGACCCAGAGGACTACTGTTCCTTCTCCAAAAATAACCACGATTTTTAAAACGGAGAGGGAGGTGGATGAACCAAGTTTAGAAGAAGACGAAGAAGACATGTCTCAGCACATGAAGCCAACTCCATAAACTTTCAATCCCGTCAACCTCATCACGTCTTAAATAGGAAACCTCCCGGTAAGTCCACTTCACGTGAATGAATGTTCCAAAAATTGTGCGGTGTGCCGCTCACAAGACCCCCCACCCGTCTCTAAATGAACACGCTGGAGATAAGTTCACCTCTGCTTCGATGCATTGGGTGCATTGTTAAGATGACTCCAGTGCAAATGAAGAAGCGGTACCGGCCCCGTTATAACTCATCTTCCACGGAAGCGCAGGATGTTAACTAACAAGTCACAGACCAGACACCCCACCCTCGTATGCACTCCCTTCAAGACAAATCAATGAGAGATTTGCACCGACAGTGTAAGTGCGGGAAGGGCATGCACTCCTCAAGATTTCGCCTACTACTTGTGGCCCAAAGCTGGAGGGTGGAGAGACGAACAACTCTCCGATGCCCCAATCCTGGGCAATCCGCTACCCAAGTGCCGTTTCTTTCTTTATTTATTTATTTTATCCGACTGTTAAATGCAGCGCGCATCTTCGGGCGGCCATCACCTCACTCCGGGGTCATCCTCCACCTCTTCCTCCTCCTCCTCCTCAACGGACCCTCTTGCCCAGGTCTAGGATATTTAACTGGTCATCCTCTTGACCGATTAAATAGAAAGATAGGACTATTCCGAAAAAAAAAAAAAAAACCTGGTCGCCATTTTGATGAATGATAAACACAGAAATGGAAATATGTCAGGGACGATGGGGCGCCGGGCAGGTGCAGGGGAGGGGGCGCGGGGCAGGGGCGCGGGAGCCGCCGGGTCCGGGCAGGAGGTGTCCGGGCCGCGGGAGGGAGGGCGGGCGGCGGGAGAGAGGGAGGCAGGGGCGGGCGGCGGGGGATGGGGCCAGCGGGGAGGTGGAAGCGATACCCACCGCCCGTATTGGTCCTCTTGGTGCTGCCGGCTTCAGGGGGGGCTTCCAGCGGCCTTTTCCGCGAGTCCGGCGGGTCCAGGTCTATGGGAACCCCAGTGTGGGTCCCGTTCTGCTGGATAGGAGCTGCCGCCATCATGTTTGCTGTTCCTGCCGCCGCTTACGGGGAGAAGGTTCTCCCTTTTGTTTTGGCTTTCTCTTTTTCTATTCTCTTTTTTTGTTTGTTTGTTTTTTGGGGTTTTTCTCTCTTTTTTTTTTTTGGCGTTGGGGGTTTCTTAAGGTGTTGTTTTTTTGTTTTTGTTTTTGTTTTAATCGGATCAATAGAAATCTCTTTAGAAAAAAAAAAGCAATGTTGCTGGTTTGTTCTCACTGGGGAGGGGGCAGGGCTGAGGAGCAGCTGCAGTGCAGTGTCAGAAAGGAGACAGGGGAATGGAGGGGGTGTGAGAGACAGAGGGTGAAAGAAGGAGAAGAAAGGAGAGAGGGGGAAAGAGAGTGAAGAAGAGAGCGAGGGGCGAGTGAATGAGCGGGAGGAGGGGAGCGCGGAGGACGGGCCGAGGGAGTGGGAGAGCGCGAGGGCTGGCGGGGCGCGGGGAGAAGCCGAGGAGGAGGAGGAGGAGGAGGGGAGACTGAGGGAGAAAAAGAGTGAATGAGCAGGAGGAGGGGAAGGAGGTGGCTGCGGAGAGAGAGAGAGAGGAGCGAGCGGCGGAGGGCAGGAGCCGCGAAGGAGCGCGGCGGTCCCCGCGCTTAGCGCTGCGCTCGCTCCCGCTGCTGGTGCTGCCGCCGCCGCCGCTGCCGGAGCGGTTCTGCCGTTGCCTGGGCTGCTCGGCGCTGCTGCTGCTGCTGCTGCCGCCCGGTCTCACTCATTATTTCTCCCGCTTGTCTGTGTGTGTGCGTGTGCGTGTGTGTGTGTGTGTGTGTGTGCGCGTGTGTGTGTGTGTGTGAGAGAGAGAGAGTTGGGGAGGAGAGGGGAGGCGTGGAGAGGGAGGATGGCGGGGAGGGAGGAGGACGGCGGCGAGGGGAGGGTAGAGAGGGGTTGAGTTCGTAGACTCCCACACACTTGGCGCTCGTGTCCCAGGCTCTCAGCAGCGCCACCGCCGCCGCCGGTACCTCAGTCAGCCTGACCGGGAGCGGCGGGGAGGGGGGAAGAGGCCGTGCGCGTGCGTGTGCGCGCGGGGGCCGGGCCGGAGTCGGGGGGCTGCCCCCCACACCACTGACTGCACCCCGGGCCGGCGAGGCGGGGACGGGGGATGGACGGAGTCGGGGAGTCGGGAGGAAGTCGGGGTGCGGGCCGGGGGGGAGGTGGGGGGCGGCGGCCTGGGCGCTCCTGAGGGGCGAGGTGAGGGAGGTCGCGGGTTCCCGGGCAGCCGCACGGCTGAGGCCGACGCAGGCGGCTTGTCGCAGGAGCCCGAGGGGTCCGCGGAACGCGCTAGGCTGGGAGGCGGGAGGGAGGCGTTACTGACAGCCGCGCCCGCCAATCCGAGGGAAATGTGAGAATAGGTTCTCCAGGTCCCTTCCCAATCAGGAAACTTGGGTGCTGCGAGGAGCGGAGCGGAGCGGGGCGGGGTGGGAGCCTGGTCCAGCTGGGAGCCGAGCGCGGGCGATTTGGGGCCTGTCCGCGAAGGGCATTCGAGTGACCGCTGACCGCGGTGTGGACAGCGGCCGCAGAGGAGCAGGAACCAGCACGCCCAGCTCCCAGGACATGTGTAGTGCTGGGTGGATTAGTTTCTACGTGTCCGAGGGAGCATCCCACTCACAGGCCGTTTTCTCCGGGGCGATCTCGTCCCAGGAGGTTTTCACGGTCGCGTTGTGTGACGCCGTGAGGGGACCCCAAGCGCCACTCCCCGCCTTTAATCCCGTCGGCAGCCAGCCAGGGCGTAAGAAATAAAACGAGCTGTGGGTCTCCCTTCCACCCGGCGCTACTTGGGCTGACTAAAGGCAGGCAACAGCCAAGTGTGTATACACCTACCAGTCAGTAGTGAGCGGGATACAGATATGGGGATAAAATTCACTGTCCTGTGCCCAGTTTTTGGATTGTACAGATGGTGGGTGCGTCACGAACCTGACTTAAGCCTTAGCACGCTAGGCTGGCTGGCTGGGTGGGGAATCCGATGCAGCTGACTAGACTCCGAAACGACCTTAGTGATGATCTAAATCCATTCCTTCATTTTACAGATGAGTAAACTGACTCCGTGAAGTATTTTGCTCAAGGTCATCCATCAAGTTAGTGGTTTAATTAACTGTGCTAGGAAGCAGGGGTGGAAAGGCAAGGACTCAGGAGTCTGAAACCCTGTTTTCAGGGCTTTGCAGGCTGTTTTGGAAAGTGATTTTTGAGCAGATTTCTCAACATGTTACCGGTCATTGTTTGCCATGTGGCAAACAAACAACTTTCCATGCGATTTTCATGACGGTGCAGCACATTGTGTAGTTGTGACTCTCCGTTTTATAGAGCAGTTTGGATTTAAAGAGACGAAATTTCTTCCCAAAGTCACACAGTTATGATATAGGAATAAGTCAAACTCAGAGCTCCCAGACTCGGGTCTGTCATCTTGAATATTACAATACACTGCAGCCCTACCATTTCTTCCCTGCTTGAAACAGACTGTAACGCCCAACTTGCACAATCCCTAAATGTCAAATGAGATCATATATGTGGCGATATATTGCAGCTGTAAAAAGGATGTAAGCCTGTGTACCAGGTTTCTACAAGGAAGATACTCTCTTTTGTACCTTCCACCAAAGCACTTGAACATGGACCATAGCTTTCATACTAAGCTACTGTAAGAATGGACCTCACTATAATTAACTGAAGACTGCACACATAATCTGAAACCATAAGCAAACACTGAGTGCTAATTCCTGATAGCTGGAAAAGCGTCCTGAGCCTGCCCCATGTCCTTTATTGAAAGAAGCATACTGGAGGAGCTGGGCTTCCCAGTGGTTTTTAAAGTAACGAACTATAGTTGAGAATCTGCTGATCAAGGAAGAGAGTGGGTTTAGTTTGGGACTAGCAGTTCATCTGGAACGTGAAAAATAACGCTTGCCTCCATCAGGAAAGAAAATGCTTTTGAGATCTGAAAGGAAGGAAGACAAGGTAAGTTAGTGCATATTGGCAAAGATCTATGAAGCAAAGTCCGGACATTTTAATCTAATATATAATGTCCTAGGAAACCATGAAACTGTATTGATGACTAGGATAAGGAGAATTTATACACAGTCAGTTGGGGTTTTTTGTTTTTGTTTTTTAATGGAGTTCTGATGAGGGGAAAAAAACAGTGTTTGGAGTAAGTATGTAGTAGTCAAGATAATATAAGACAGATGCCAAACATTGTGCAATCAAAGTACTCCGTGAAGTATATGAAAAATATGTGAGGAAATTTTTAAAGGAAAAATTACAAAAGGACTGGCATTTGGCTTTAGATTATCTTAAAACAGCAGAAGCCTGGAGACAAAGGTAACTGAAAGACAAATATATTTTACATCACACTTGTCCTAAAAGTGTTCTAAAGAATGTGGGCTTAAAGTGGGGAAAAGACTGAGCCAGAGATGAAAAACCTGAGTGTAACAAATTTCTAACACAGTACTTCTGATATAGAAAATATTTTTCATTTCCATGCTTAAGTAAAGCTGAAAATGAACTTCCTTAGGTAGCCTACTATAACCTTACTAAGGTAGACTCAGCTGCTTCCTTATTTACTATTTCCTTCTTTCTTTCTTTGAATTTAAAAATGCCTGCCCCTCCATGGGGCCCAGAACAGAAGATATGATTTTTAATGTGGATTGAATACTCAATAGCGGCCTCGCTGTGGTATGCCGGGAATAACAGATACAGTCAAGACCTAGTTAGTCAGCCTCACATGCTGACTTAGTCAGTGAAGGTTATCTGAGAGTACATTTTCATTAAGTTCCTATTTCTTAGCATATTTTGTTGTTGCTACATTATACTTCTGTTTTATTCTTACTGCATAGAACTGTTTGATTAAGGAGACTTAAGCATTTTTAGCTGTGGTTTTCTCTGTTTCCTATCAACTAACAAACAAGGTAAATAAAAAGCCTACTATTCCTAGGTTCGTTAATAGTATGATATACATTTTCTGTTCAAAATAAGTTGTTACAGTAAACTTTTCAAAAAATATGATAGTAGCATTTTCCCTTTCAAGTCTCTAAGAAGATATAAAAATTATTTTTTAATTAACCAAGCAATTGCACATGCTGATTTAATGGGTTCTTGCACCTTGAGACACAATGGGATGTGTGTGCTTTTCATTAGTAATTAGTTTCACAACTATTTTTAAAAACTGTGATAGAAAATGTTAACACAAAAACAATTCCTGGTCTTTACTGCTTTTTTCGTGGTTATTTTCCTTTCTGTTTCAGGCTGAGTAATAAGTATATACGATACTCAATTTTCTATGATAAAAACTGGCTTCCAAGAGCTAGCACAGATAGTTGGTATTCACAGATTTTCCTGAATTTGTTTATTTCTATCCAAGCTCTAAACTTTCACTGTGATCAATCCCATTGCTAAGGGATGCAAAGGCTCCGGAAGTGTCTTTTCTGAATTTGTATCCTACCAGAAGTAGACTTGGAGTTGGGGATACACGTGTAAGTAGTATACTTTAGAAGGGATAGCAGGAAATATAGTAGGGATGCTGGGAAGTAAGGGAAGAGAAGAAAGGAAAAAGTTGACCTGCCAAGCAAATCATCACTATCAATAAGCAGAGCTTGATCTTACTGGAATTTCCTGGGAAACAATGAAAACACCTTCAGATTAACCCACAAAGTGTGAGAAAGCTGAACTC